CTGAACTAGACTGATCATTACATAAAAGAACATAAGAGTGTATGTATAGGTGTCAGAATACATCTACATTAAGGACCACTGTATGTTACTTAACATTTTACAGTCATCCAATGACCATTACAAAAGACAACCCATAGCAACATTAAAATAATTAAAATAATTTTTATAATTTAATTTTTATTTCTCTTATATATAAAGTTATTGATTTGTGTGAGTGAAAAGTGTTTTTCTTTCTTCAGCCTCAAAATCCCAGGCACTACTGCCAGCTTAATACTACAGTGTCAGTATTGGCACTGTGCTTTGATGGAATAAGTGACCTTCGAGTGGACTTCCGACTCTGCAGGGCATCCTTCAATTCCCTGATCGCTATCCTTGGCACGACCTGTGACCACGGTTGGGGACCCGTCCTTGAGGCTCTTGCCCGCTAAATTTATAGATGGCGATGGTGAAAAAAACCACATGTATAAATAAATAACTTACATTTGTATATTGCAGTGCTAACCACAACCGCGGCAATAGCTGTCCCTCCCCTTCTCCTACGTAGCATAAATGGCGACCACTGAGGGTGTTCAGTGTTCCACACTCAGCTTTTTGACCGTTCTAAGTGCACCATCGATCAGATCACAATCGACAGTGTGAACGCACTTATGTACTCGGAATAGCCATGAACGCCACGAATGCAGCATTTTTGTCTACTTTCTCTTCAGGCATAATAGCTAGCTTCTGTCAAAAAGAGCTGCAAACATCATAGTCTAAGACGCTTGCCTGTGATTTATAGGCTAGAAACAGCCTTGGCAATAACATATTCATTGATTGAACCCAGGACCTCAGGAAATCTATCATTGATCTACTTCCAGTTTGCGTTTCCTGCATCTCTTCAGCAGATATGGCGAGTGTGCAAAGTTTGAGAGGATAATTCGGAACGGCCACAGTTATGAGAATATAAAATCAAGGTTAAAATATGAAGGAATTATCCTTTAACTTTTGATTCATCAATTTCAAATGCCCCAAACATACTTGACTGAATGTAAACTGGGCAGGCGGGCTGAAGTATGTTATCCTACTACAGCTACTACTGCTGCATTGCTTGGGTGTGTGTGCTGCAAATAGGAAAAGCCCTCGAGTGGGGAAAATGCCAGGTGAATCTGTAGTGATTACTCATGGTACCCATTCACTCAGCATGTCGGCATTGCTGCGACGTGATGGCAAATTTTTCCCTGTCAAGCGGTTACTATCACTGAGGTGGTGAAAGTGGAGAGTCTGTCTTGTTTCCAAGCGATGAAGCATCATATTAAATATTTCTCCTCACTGTCACCGCTCTAATAAAGGCTAAATTCACCTCGATGTGTGTTGTAGCATCAATAGCAGGTACACTGACTACTGACTGCATTAGTGCATTAGTCAGAATGCTGACTCATGCTAATGCCCTCTCCGCTGTTTGGTTCCTCATCTTGCCTAACCTCTCTCAAAACACTTTCTATAACCTGCAGCTATAGATGACACATGAATTCTACGGATGACCTTAGGAGCTTTTTTTGTTTTTTGCCACTTTGGTGCATTGTTTCTTTAATTGTGGTGTAGACAGAGTTACATAATCAGGTGATACCAATTTCCTGTCTGTCCAGAAAGTACTGCCAGACTGTTAGCATAAGGACTGGAAATGGGCCAGCGTGGCTCTGTCCAAAGGTATCAAAAAATCTAGCATCTCTTACCAATTAACACAAATGTCTCAAATTTGTTAAATCCGTACAAAAAATAGTTATTCAGTGTTAATTAGTGAGCATTAGAGGTATTGGTAAGCAGATTTTGTTACCTTCGGACAGAGCCACGTATAGGCGGCTTTCCCGCATTTCCAGTTTTTGGTTAAGCTAAGCTAAGCGGCTGCTGGCGGTAGCTTTATAATGTAGGCTATTTACCTGCAGTGTTGTAATTGAGGGATTTGAATTGATTCTGCTTTTGTGCTTTTAATAAAATGTATGGCTGGAGACAAAACAATTGAGGTTGTGATAAAATGTGATTTATTGGGCCGATTTTATCTGCAGATTATTATTCCATCATGGGTTTTACATCTGTAGCACCGACTTGATAACACTGTATACATGGGAAAGAGCCTATTCCCATCCTCCCTGATGAAAGCTTTCTATATGGGGGAGTTAACACCTAGGAGTGAAAAGTGGAGGGTGGGCTGGGGGTTGGGGGGGTGGGTGTCTGTGGTGTGATTACATCTAGACCACAAGTGTCACACGGCGGCAGCCTGGTTATGCTACAAACTGGGCGGAGCACTGGGCGCAGTGGGAGCGAATCGGGAAGAAACATTTGCCGAATTTCCTACACATTTCACATCCCGGAGCCGCCCTCATTTTTAAATTGCGACTACAAGCACTTAACGTACCAGCCTGCACTTAAACAAACAAAAAAAAGATGCAGACAGTGTTTATTCCAGCCAGGTGCCCGATCATGGAATTAAAGGACAGGAAAGGGACATTTTTATGCTAGCTCTCGGCGAATGCTGGCGTGTTGCCTTTTTCTCCGCGGTGCTGTACTCAAACTACCACTGATGTTTCTTTTTTTTTTTTTTTTTTTTTTTTTTTTTTTTTTTTTTTTTTTTTTTTCTCTTTATTTTGTTGTGGTGGTTTTAAAATGGAAGGTGCTCTTCAATAAGGCTAAAATCATGTTAAAATTTAGAGTAAACCCATGTCAACAAATGTTATATTCCTCTGTACAGTTTCTTTTGTTGTTGGCTTGTTATGTTTATGGAGGGAGCAAGCTGCAGTGCCAGTGGATTAAATCTAAGCTTTAGCGAAAACCACAAGCTCGTTGTGGATGCAGTGATCATAGGGATGGGCCACATTGGTGGCCAGTCTAGTCACATGAAATACAGACATGCTCCACTTACTGGTGGGAAAGATGGAATGCTTTACTTAAAACTGATCTTAAAAAGGACTAGATAGTAAGTCTCCACTGTTTTTACTCATCTGTTATCTCTCATATATCTCATATTTGATGCATGGACAGATTTCAGTGCGGCTTTACCGTTGGGAAATTAGTATTCTTTTATATTCTGTATCTTCATGACCTACCACCGTATATATCAATCTTGGAGACTTTCCACACCACATTAAGTCCATTAGTTTTCCTGTGTGGCCTGGGCTCACAAAAGCTTATTCCATCGGCCGACATCTTTTGGGTCTTTTGAAAGTCAGCATTGCACCGGTCACCACTCAGGGGGTTGTTAGGATTTTGGAAAGACCTTCTTGTGGCCCCGTTTGGATCAAAGATATTCTTTCTAACCCAAGGTCTCACCTTGCAATAATTGCCTTCCCGGCTCCTGTTGGGATGATGTAGCTGTTTTGACTCGACGGCCTTGCCCAAGTGCTGGGAGCAGCCAGTTGGAGACCTGGCCTGAGCTGGAAGGTGGATGCGAGGCAG